GAAAGAAAGTTTTCATCCAATTGAATTGCTTCAAGCATTGAAGCATTGCATAAAGACTTTGGGATGGACCCATGAAATTGATTAAAGCTTAAGTCAAATAGCTGGAGTTCTGGACACTTATTACCCAAGTCATCTGAAATGGATCCCCTGAGTCTGTTGTTTTGAACGTCAAATTTTTGGATGAATGAAAGATTGTAGACCGAAGGTGGCATAGTACCCTCGAGTTGATTCTCTTTCAGATTAAAGTTAATGAGGGAACTAAGTTTTCCAAGAGAGTGAGGGATTGAGCCTGTAAGGCTATTAGATGCGAGAGAAAGGATGTTGAGGAGGTTCAGATTTCCTAAGGATTCAGGGATGCTACCAGTTAGGTCATTTGTTTGGACATCTAGAGCTAGGAGAGATGAGAGATTTCCTAAGGATTCAGGGACGCTACCAGTTAGGCCATTTGTTTGGACATCTAGAGCTAGGAGAGATGAGAGATTTCCTAAGGATTCAGGGATGCTACCAGTTAGGCCAGTTGTTTGGACATCTAGAACTAGTAGAGATGAGAGATTTCCTAGGGTAGTGGGAATCGGCCCGGATAGCTGGTTGTTTGACAGATACAAAATCTGTAATTTCTGAAGGCCTCCAAGAGAGGCAGGAATAGAACCAGACAGGCCATTGAAATAAAGATCTAAATAGGTTAAGTTTTTAAGATTTCTAATTTGCGTTGGGATTTCTCCTACTAGCATGTTTGAGTTCAGAACAAGATGGGTCAGACCTTCCAGGTTTCCAATCTCCACAGGGATACTTCCTGTAAGGTTGTTGTATCCAAGAGCCAGTACCTCAAGATTATGCAGGGATGTCAATTCCCGACTCGAAGCTGCACACAAGTGGCCAATGTCGGCGGGATCTCCCCGCCGATGGAGTTGTTGCTGAGGTTCAGATACTCGAGTTGTACTAGATGTCCAATCTCTGATGGTATGGTACCGTAAAAGCGATTCTCTTTAAGGCCAAAATGCCTGAGGTAAGTCAGATTACCTACGGAAGAGGCAATGATGCCAAGAAGGTTGAGGCCGTGAAGATCCAGTGCTACGACACGGCCGCGGCGGCGGCCACGCGTGCCACAGGCCACTCCGCACCATTGGCACATAGGGATCGACTGGTTTCCCCATGAATTCAGTGCTTGGAATGGATCTCCTTTAATCAGAGATCTGAATGACATGAGCGCGCTTGGTGGTCAGTGGCGCTTGTTGTGGCTGTTTCAGCACTGGACAAGGTGGCTACACGAACGGCGTTAGCCAAACATGGGAGACAAAGGGAGGCAAACACCAAAACGTTCATGACTATCATGATCGACATGTTTAGGCGACGCAAATAAAAGCTTGGTGTGCAGACTAGAAGCTTGGTGTGCTTATACATTGATTCTTTCTCTCTGCGGGGAATTTAGATGGTGATTCGTGGCACGTTGAGTATAGCCGTCGGTCTCATGCTCGTCATTTTCAATCGTATATGACCGCAGACTGCACAGTGATCCAAGTCTACGCAGAGTCTGGCTGGCCATATGTCCTGTTCAAAACTCCCTAATGGGCACTACGTCTGCATCCACTAGAGCGATGCTCTATGGGCATGCCGATGAAAAGATGGCCTGACGCTGGACTCCATATCCGCTGATGCTCTATGGACTCTATATCACTTTGACAGGAGGTTCGTTATCAACTAGTGCGTTGAAAGCAGAAATTGCACCGATGGTGCCACTGACGGGAGGTTCATTATCCACTAGTGTGTTGAAGGCAGAAATTGCACCGATGATGCCAGTTTAGTCAGCGGAAGTGGGAAGAATAAAATGCACAATTACAACAGAAAGTTGTTGCAAAGGTGAAAGTTGAGTTTCACATATCAACTTATAAATCTCACAATAAGTGTGGCCTTAACCAAGGGGAATCCTATTCCCCGCGTACCGCAGGCGATAGAGAGCAAACGTGCAACCCTAGGACGCGAGCGCCCTGTGCTATATGGGCCGACCCATTCCGGTTTATGAATTATCATTTTGAAATTCGTGAACATTTGTTGAAATTTGGAATATTTTGAACACTTGTGAGTTTTTTAATTCCGAACATTTTTAAAATTTGTGAACATTTTTTTTCAACATTTTTTAAATTCAAAACTTTTGTGAAATCCTGAACATTTTCTTTAAAGCAGAAAAATTAAAAATTAAAAATAAAAAATAAATAAAGGAGGGGTTGCCGTAATGGGAGCAACTAGTCCGTGAGCACCTCGTACGGGGTGGGGGTGTCGCAGTGGACACCGCAGGAGCACCCCAATGTGACATCTGATACGCCAATTATTGCCATGTGTCACGTGCTTGACGCATCCGTGGGTACATTCTTTTATGCGTTTTTTTGGTGTTTTTCGGATTTGGGTTGTTTCCCAGGGTACATAAATCATTTTTTTATTCTTTTTATTTTCTCTCGTGAAGCGCATTTTTTTGTTTCACATTGTGCTTCTTCGTGCTTCCCAAAAAGTTGAAATACTATTATGCTTCACCATGAAGGACATGTGTGCTTTTTAACTTTTTTTGGAAAAACATAGTTGTGCTTCACCATGAAGCACAATAGTTGTGCTTCATGGTGAAGCTCACCCGAAAAGTGAAAAAACTAAAAATATTCCTTTTTTTTGTTCCGATCTGTTTTTTTTCGCTTTTACTTGAGAAATTTTTTGTTGACCAACATATTAACATGGAATATAGTTTTGTAGATCTCGACACGAGAAACGCAACAATGAAAACAATTCATGATTTGAGCGATTGGTTTAAGAGATAAATTGTTTTCAAAAAACATATCTATGCAAAAACACAAAACTCTCATGTTGTGATAAGTGACACACTTATCACTATCAGTAAAGTGGTGGGAACGTCTCCTTTCATCAAATGTACACCGAACGCAGAAGGTTTTATATAAATCCAGAAAATGCGAGCACTATCAGTATCAGTATCAAACCAGTTTGATGTGTTGTGGGGAGCCTGTAATCCAGAGTGCAGAGTGGAGTTAGTTGCCGAACAAGTTGTCTGCTCCTCATTTGACCTGGGGAGCTAGCAAACTAGGAGCTGGGAGTGGAGCTAAGGATCTGACGGAGTGGAGTGAATACGAACAGGCCCTAAGTCTACAACTTAAACCTGGGCCGGTATGTCCTTTTCGCTCTTCGTATTATCGTTTTCTTAGATGCTCTTCGTATTATGGTTGATGTCAGAAGTGAACTAAAACCAGAGGTATACTTTTCTCACCGGTTGGGTTTGGGGGCCTCTGTGCGATTGCTCCGCTTGCACGCACTCCGTCGCGCAGGCCGGCTTAGCCGCAGCTCTCCGCATGCGCCGCCCCTCGTCGCGATTCTGCTCGCAGCACAACATGGCTCTGCCGCCTTGCCGTTCTTGTCGTGTAGGAGCTCCTGGATGATTCCCAGCGCAGCCAAAGACCGCTACTAGAAGGACAACCGGCAGGTTGGTGCCATTTAATTTTGTGTGAATTTCCTCTTTGTTGTCATTTTGGTGGGAACTAAGGCAGATTCTGGTGCTGCTTGCGTTTATCTCTGGCCCATGGAGAATTTGAGGCACTAATCTTCGTTTTGTTCGCATCTCACACTCTGCCCGTAAGGTGTTTGTTGAAATTGCATTCTTGCGTGATGCAGCAAGTTAGGCACAACAGCGTTTAATCAAGCAGCCAAAACGAAGTAGGGATTAGTTATCGCCATGGCATTGCTGTACTTAACCAACAACGTTTAGGACTTAGTTATCCTCATGGCACTCTTGTACTTGTTGTCCAGCTTAGAGTCACAGTTACCACCATCGTATCAACATAGTTACCAAGTTGTCTAGATTAGACTATCATCATGACATGAAATTAGTGATACCATCATGGCATCGACGTAGTTACCTATCTTCTTTCTCTGTAAAGAAATATAAGAGCGTTTAGAACTTTTAGATCATTAGAGGAAGTATATCTTTTACGATTATGACCATAAGTCCATAACATCAATATAGTTACCCCGTGGTGGCAGGTGGTGGTAGCCCGAGCCGGCTCCCAGGATGGCGGCGGCGGGGCACCTCGTCGAGCTTAGGCTCCCTTGCCAGCCCACCCGTTCGCCGGCGGCGCCCTACGCCAGCACGTCTCTGATGGCTGCCTGCTACGCTGCCCCTGCCCGCCCACCCTGCTACCGGGCGTTGCAAGCTCCTGCCACCGGCGATGTGCGTCCATCTCTCCCCCCTCCCCGCGTCAGATCTGGGATCCTGGCGAGGCATGTCCTGTCGTCGACTTCTTCTTTATTGCTGGCGCTAGACCTGGGGTTGGGGGTGGTGTGCTCCTCCGCTGGTCTCGGGCCGCCCTTGCGGCGCCACCACAACACTCTTCTCCTCCGAGTTGTGGCCTTGACTTCAAAATGATGGATTTTTTGGCATGCTTCAGCGGCGCCTGCAGGCGTTCTGCAAGTGCTCGTGCCCTTGTGATGGACCCCTTGCTGGTGTAGCTCGGGACCCGGTGACCCTTGACTTGCGTTTTCCGGTGTCCTTAGGTTGCCGGTGTCTCTTCCGATGCGACACTGGCCCCGGCGTTCTGGAGGTTGCGTCTCCTCAGGCCTCGCGACACCATCACCCGGGCATGAGCTCACCTCGCTCTCTGCTACCGAGTCCCTGCTACCGCTTGTGCTCTACCGCTTGTAGTTACATAATTTGCCTCAAGATAGGAACGTAGAAAAAAACATGTGGTTTTCTCAATAAAGAGAATACTTTAACACCAGGAAGATCCCCGTTACACTATAAGTTCCAACTAGAATTTTGGTGAACCTATGGCTAAGATACATTGCATTGTGCGGCTTCCATTGTTCACAAACCATTTCTATATAATGTTGAAATTCCATTCGAAAGATATACATATTAGTTGTCTAGTGAATTGCAGGAACAAAGCTTGCATCACCTCCTATTTTGGTATTATGACGAATACTGATCACAATGAAGCGAGGCCATCAAGCATTTAAATCGACCCACCTTCACTCAATAGGTGTGTGCGATACTTGTCTCTGATCGCCAGTAGCTCTCTCGTAGCATCCCCAATCTGCATGCGATCAATTGGCAGTTCCTTCGAGCATAATATCCCAATGTGCAGCACTGAAGTGATGAATGCAGCTCTCATGGTTGTCCCTTCCTCCAGTGAAGATAATAAACACAGATTGGCCAGGTTGCTGGCTTGGTCTCTCAGTGCTATCTCGACGTAACTATGTAGGTTTAGGTCTTGCAGAAAGTCACCATCAGTTGGCCTTTTACCAGTGAACAACTCTAACAGCAGTATTCCATAGCTATATGTATCACCATAGACCGAGACTTCATTTCCTTGACCATACTCTGGAAAAGAAATGTATGTGAAATTAGTTTCAAATGAGAAATTGGTATATCAAAGATGAACATTGGTGATCAATGGCAAACCTGGGGCAGCATATCCAATTGTTCCCCTTCTTGTAGCCCAACCACTTGATATCTCTGGGAGGCTAGTATCATCCTGGTGCAAGAACCTTGCGAGTCCAAAGTCACCCACATGGGCAACCATGTCATTATCGAGGAGAATATTGCTTGGCTTAAGATCACAGTGAACTATTGGCACTGGCTTATTGTGGTGAAGGTATTCGAGTGCTGAAGCTACATCAATGGCAATGTCTATCCTTTGGGTAAGACTGAGCACGCCATGGCTCCCATCTTCCAGGAGACGGCTGTGTTGCCATTGATCAAGATCTCCATTCGGCATGAACTCAAATACGAGAGCTTTGAAGTCTAGACCCCTGGAATCAATACTTGAGCAGACGGTCAATATCTTCACAAGGTTTCGATGTCTGATGCATCTTAAAGTCTCACATTCTGCAACAAAGCTTTGAGATGCCCCTCGCTGCTGGAGGTTGAGCACCTTCACAGCGACAATCACTTCCTGATCTCCATCCATCATTGTTCCTTTGTACACGGACCCAAAGCTTCCTGTGCCTAAGAGGTTCTCAGAAGCAAAACCACTTGTTGCTCTCACTAATTCAGCATAGGTAACCCTCATATGCTGTCCACTATGGAGTGATGGAACCCGTCTTGTCTTTGTAAACTCGCTTCTCAATTTCCGTCGTGCAAATAGTGCAAATAGTACTAAGATGATGCAAAGAAATGCGCTACCTACTGAGATGAACACGACAATCTTGTGAGACCACTTCTTGGATGTATGATTTGAGCATGGATGCAAGTTAAATTGGGGGATACCTCCACATAAGCCATAGTTCCCTTCGATCAGAGCTGCACTTGCATTCAGAAATAATCCACGTTTCGGAACTTCACCCTCAAAATTGTTGAATGATATGTTCAGGGTAGCGAGCCCCTGCATGTCCCCAAGGAAGACTGGGATGTCCCCGGACAAGTTGTTTCTTGAAACATCAAGAACTAGAAGTCCTTTCATCTGTGACATTGATGCTGGAATTGTGCCCTGAAGTAGGTTTCCTTCCATAATGAGATACTGCAAACTTCCACACTGAGCTAGAGAGGCAGGAACTAAGCCAGTTATCCTGTTGTCAGACACATCCAGAGATCCAAGATTCACTAGATTACTAACTTCTGGAGGAATTGTCCCAGTTAACTTATTGCCTTGGAGCTGCATGGAATCAGATAGTGTCGATATGAGGAAAATCTCTTTTGGTATTGAACCAACAAGCTGATTGAATGCTAGGCTCAATGTGTCCAGAGGGCAGCTTCCAAGGCTGGATGGTATGGGACCGGCAAGCACATTTTGGCTGAGGTCGAGTGTAATTAATGCTGTGAGATTTCCAAGCATTGGTGGAATTGGTCCAGATAAACTGTTGTTTGACAAGTATAGTTCACCCAGGATCCCAAGGTTGCCAATTGATTCAGGAATTTTCCCATGTAGGAAATTACCTTCCAAGTGCAAGTGTTGCAAGTTGACAAGGTTTCCAATTCCTTCAGGTATATTTCCCCTTAGCATGTTGAGTGATACGCTGAAAGATCTTAAATTTGTGGAAAGATTTGCTATTGAATTTGGTAGCACCCCTTCTAGTTTGTTATTGCTTAGATCTAGGTCCTGCAGCATACTACAGTTTGTCAGGCTAGAAATGAAGTCCCAGTCGGCATCATTCCTTGCCTCTAGTTGACCTACTGCGAGAAGCAGTATCGATAAGCTCTTCATGGTAGCTCCAAGACATTTTGGTATTACTCCGGATAGAAAGTTGTCACCCAATTGAATTCCTTCAAGCATTGAAGCATTGCATAAAGACTCTGGGATGGATCCATGAAAGTGATTACTGTTTATACCAAGTAGCTGTAGTTCTGGAAACTTATTACCCAAATCATCTGAAATGGATCCACTGAGGTTGTTGTATTGCACATTAAAAATTTGGAGGGATGAAAGATTATAGACAGAGGGTGGTATAGAACCCTCAAGTTGATTCCCGTTCAGATAAAACTCAACGAGAGAACTGAGTTTTCCAAGAGTGGGAGGGATTGAGCCTGTAAGTCTATTAACTGCGAGAGAAAGGTCGTTGAGGAGATTCAGATTTCCTAACGATTCAGGGATGCTACCAGTTAGGCCATTTTTTTGGACAACTAGAACTAGTAGAGATGAGAGGTTCCCTAGGGAAGGTGGGATCGACTCTGAGAGCTGGTTGCTCGATAGGTACAGAAGCTGCAATTTCTGGAGGCCTCCAAGAGAGGCAGGAATGGAACCTGACAGACCATTGACGTTAAGATATAAATGGGTCAAGTTTCTAAGTTTTCCAATCTCCGTAGGTACTTCTCCTACTAGCATGTTTGCTCTCAGATGAAGATACTTCAGCGCTTTCAGGTTTCCAATCTCCACAGGGATACTTCCTGTAAGGTTGTTGTACCCAAGAGCCAGTACCTCAAGATTATGCAGGGATGCCAACTCGCGAGGCACCGAGCCTTTATGCACGTTGTACCTGAGATCGATAACTCGAAGCTGCACACAAGTGGCCAATGTCGGCGGGATCTCCCCGCCGATGGAGTTGTTACTGAGGTTCAGATACTCGAGTTGTACGAGATGTCCAACTTCTGATGGCATGGTACCATAAAAACGGTTCTTTTGGAGGCCAAAATGCCTGAGGTAAGTTAAATTACCTATGGAAGAGGCAATGGTGCCAACAAGGTTGAGCCTGCGAAGATCCAGTGCTACGACGCGACCGCGGCGGCGGCCACGCGTGCCACAGGCCACTCCACGCCATTGGCACATAGGGATCGACTGGTTTCCCCATGAATCCAGTGCTTGGGATGGATCTCCTTTAATCAGAGACCTCAATGACATGAGCGCTTGGTGGTCAGTGGCGCTTGTTGTGGCTGTTTCAGCAGTGGACAAGATGGGTGGATGCACGGCATTGGCCCAACACGGGAGACAGAGTAAGGCAAACACGAAAAACTGCATGACTATCATGATGGACATGTTTAGGCGACGCAAACAGAGGCTGATTTTCAGACTAGCTAGAAGCTTGTTGTGCTTATATAGTGATTTTTTCCTTTTCGTTTCTTCTTTTGCAGGGAGGCAAGTTGCATGGACCCGTCGGTTTCGTCGTCCCGGATATATTATTTTTAAGGAAAGAAGACCAAATCATGGTGCTGGAAGTGCAGTACCAATGACGATATGCATGACCGCGGACTGCACAGTGATCCACTGCTGCTACGTCTGTGGCGAGTCTATGCGGGCACAGTTTGGCTGGCCAAATATCCCTCCCCCAATGTTCAAAAACTCCCTAAGCCCACGGCGGTGAAATGAAAAGCTGGCCTGAGCCTGACGCCGGACTCGTTTGCCGACGATGCAGAGGCTAGTTTGAGATCAAGTTTCATTCGTAAAGGCGCGTACGGCGCGAGACAACTCATTGGGGGAGATCAAGTTTTCCTTGTCAGGATGGGCACAGTGTCAGACAAGCAAAGTGTTGGATCGAGGACCAGAAAGTCCGTCAACACATCCGACAAGCAAGTTGGTCCAGTAGCAATGTTCCAATAGTACAAGCAGTAACCCAGGTCCAATCTTGCATGCAGTGACCAGAAAGTCCGTCAACACGTTCACAATAGACTTAAGCCAACTCCACTGCAAGACCCGTGACGGACGTCCGTTTTGTCCGGATTTTATCCGTTTGGGATAGCAATAGGTGTCAAAACGGACATGCATGTCCGGATGAAGTTGAAGGCGCCCAACGCACCGATCGACCCCAAAATGTCTGCCTCGACCGCGCACCCATGCCTGTGACTCACCTGCCCGCGAGCTCGCACTCTCGCCTCGCCGGTGCAGCCGACGACGTCGTGCTCGCCCGCGCCTGCACGCCGTCCCGCCCGCTCGCGCTCGTCCGCCTGCGCGCTCGAGCTCGCCCGCAACACGGCGGTGCCCGCCCGCGTCTGGCTAGCTAGCACGGCGGCTGGCTAGCACAAGCAGCACGCGCGTAGCTAGCATGCGCGCCCGCTCGCACAAGCTAGCTAGCTTGCCACGCCCCATCGTGCGCCGCGAGCCGC